AGGGACCTCTAACTTTCATTTCACCCCTCCCATCCATTCTCTTTCTCCATTTTCAGCTACATTCGCCATCTCTTATTCAACTCAGCGCTGGGTTTGATGTCAGTGCTCCACTATAATTTCTGCTCTGCTTCTGACTGCTTCTGATATTTCAGCGGCCGTGCCATCATCCGGCTGATACTTAAAATACATTAGCACATTTGACCGTCCAAAATTCTTTCCACTGTTTAGGCTCTGAGTTTGGGTGGAGGATAACACTTGAATTATAATGCAGAGAGAGATGGGCATTGATTCAAGTTGTGTCTGTCAGTCTGTGAGCCAGGTCATTACATGCAGAGTGAGGGAGCTATGTTTCAAAGGCGGTCTGGTGTGCGGTGCTTTGCATGCAGCCAGGACTGCTGATCAAAGGTAGATTGACAAGTGAGGGATCTGTGGCTCCGGGAGTAATTCTACCTTAGTGACACTGACTGATATGTCTCCTCTACTCAGCTTGGCAATCGTGCAGTTATGATACAGTGTGCACGGTGTGGAAGGCTATCAGTGGCGCCCTGGCCAGGCAAACCCTGTGAGCTGAATGCAAAAGCAGCCAAGCATAATAGATCCCAAGAATTAAGATTAGTGTGTCCTCTCATCAATCACGGGTAAAGTGATTCCAACTGTTGTATCGGGTAAACATTTGTACAAAATACTGTACAGACGCTCCGAAACACACAAACCCCACCACACACACACACACACACACACACACACACACACTGATATACACATTATTCAGCCAGGCAGGCACACAAATTACATTCCATAACTGTCATGCCACAGAGGGAAGTTGAGATGGATGGCCATTGCTATGAAAGAGTGCAGCGACCCTCGTTCTCATGAGCTTCCAGTTTCCCCCGAGCCAACCAGTTTTCTGTCTGTCACCTTGGTAACCACATTTTTCAAGCAAAGTAAATTCACAATGGATTGAAAAGATAAGAAAACAAAACAAAACATGCAGAGTCATTTGAGAAATGGAAAACTTATCAATACGATCACAACAACAGGGTGAACAACTCGTTTTGCTTTGATACATTTGGCTCACTATCTAGAACCTGTGGAAGCCGACTGTGGTGTATGCAAGTCAATTAAAAATAAGTGTTCATATTGTTCATGCATCTCAGAATCACTTGTTGATTCCTGCTGAAACGTTAAATGTGTATAGAAATCCTCCCTGAGAGAATTGGAGGACAATAAAGGGAGTTTTAAGGGTTCTTCCGTTGAGAATAAATGACCAGGATCAAGGTTTTGTGACACTTGGGTTTTTCTTGTTGTTGTTGTTGTAATTTTTCTAGTCAAACTGTAGGATCAACATATTCAAAAACCTTACAGCCGCCCTTTTAAAATCAGCTGCGTGGAAAGTGAAATAAGAGAAAGGGTGGGTGGATGAAAAGCTTCTTAAGCACAAGCTGAGGCTATACGGATAACAGTATTATTGCCAAATCTGTTTCAAAATACACAAATGAAAGTCAATGTGTTTTTTAAAAACTACCCACCATTGTATTTTAGATTCCGGGGGACCAAAATTATTGCTGTTGTAGCTTCATTTCCTTGTTGCCAAAAATTGCAAGAATTAATTTCCTGTGGAGTCATTTGTGTGAGAGCAATTGCCATCCCAATGAAAAACATATAGATCCACTTGATATCGTTATTGCAGCATTCTATTTTTTGAAACTAAGACTTTCACTTGTATTATGTTCACACTTGTTCGATTTTATTCCATTATTTTCACCTGATGGCGTTCACGTATGGTTTAACTTTGGTGAATGTTGAAACACAAAATTTACTGTCACTTGCAAACCATCTTAACAGAGCTGGCTTTTGAGCCACAGCTGTGTTTTAGCAGAAAGAAGTAGTGTCTTGCAGTCATTTGTTAGATACTAGTGCAAATAAACTCTGTGACTGAGCTGGTTAGTTTGCTCACTGACAGTTACATCTTGCTAACTGGAAGGTAAGAAACTAACTAACTTAATTGGCAGTTAACAATCTCAACAACTTGCTAACTGGAAAGCGGCGGCTGTGGGCTTTGGCGCAGGGGGACGAGTGGGTTGTCCTTTAATCACAAGGTTGATGGTTTGATCCCCAGCTCTTCCTGTCATTGAGCGAGAAACTGAATCACAAGTTGCTCCCCAGACGTTACAGAAGCCCACTGCTAGTAAATGCTTAGAATGGGTTAAATTCAGGTCAAATGTATGTATTGATAAAAGTTAAAGTTTTAAGTCTGAGGCAACAAACTAACTTGAGCAATTTTTCTTGCTTACAATAAACAATCTAACTCGCTATGAAGAAGGTAACAATCTAACCTGCTTACTGGCAATTGATAATCTTTATAACTTGTTAACTGGAAGCTAATAAGCTAACTTGCTGACTTACAATTAACAAGTTTTATAACTTGCTAACCAGAACACGCTATCCAACTTGCTAACTGGCAGTTGATACTTTTTGTCTGTCTAACCTTCAAACAGTTAACAAGATTTCTAAATTGCTACCTGGAGCTAGCTTTGTTGTTGTTGTTGTTGTTGTTTGTGACTGGCTAGTGCTACCACTAGCATGTTATTGGTTAACTACTCAGCCACAACACCTCATCAGGTAGCCCTGCAATTAGACACCGAGTCACCAGACATCCAGTAACACCTATTTCACAAGGACAGCAATGAATCTTGCTGTTCCACTTTATGGTCTGACTTGACACTCTCCCCTGAGATGCCTGATGAATATGGGCCCCAAGAAAAACTTCAGCTGTCTCTGAAATACTTCTTGCACTTGTATGCACTGTGCTATCTGTTTTTTTCTCAGTTCACTGTCAATGAATATATGTTTCCATTGCTTGCTGTGATCCGAGTCGCTTGATTTGACCTAGTCTAGTCTCCTCTGTGGCATACCACCAGGTTTTTGATGAGACAGCCTGATGTAAAGCAAGAACCCCAGGTGAGCATCTGACTATGGATTAAAGAGGACACTGCTGCACTCAGTTTGGAAAGAATTTAACTCAGGGGAAAAGTGATGGCGGACAAGCTCAGAAGCTCAAAAAGGAAAATGGAAGGAAGATCTGCTGTTGGAGGGAAGCCATGGAGGGCTGGCAGGGACATCGAGAGGGGGCAGCATGAAAAGCAAGAGGGGATGGGAAGAGAAGAGAACCAAGATACTTACTTCCCTGTTTATCCGAATCTAAGAGACGCCAAAAGGTGGAAAACGGAGGGCGGAAAACAGAGACAGAGAGAAAGAAAGACAGAAAGTAGGGGAGGAAACAAGAGCTAGTTATTGTGATTAAAGTCCAGGAAAAGAGGGTAATGAAACGGTTAGAGAGCAGCTTGCCTTGAGGACCTGTGGAGAGAATAATGTTCGAAAGACTAAAATTCACATGTTTCTACGCAGAGGCCACTTTTGTGCTATAGTATCAATTTCCTCTGAACCTTCCAACCTTTAGCATGCTACATCTATATTTAGTTTTGGGTAAAGAGGCAGAGAGAGACGTTTTTGATCTGAAGCCAGTGATGACACAGAGTTGTCCTTGGTGTTAATGACACAGATGACACTTCAGCACGATCTGCAATGAAAGAGGGCATTGGTAGGGATGATGCCTCAGGAAAGACATGTGATTCAAGACATTCTCTCAATTGCTCAAAGTCAAGGCTTTCTTAAAAATGTGCACTGTGTTCTGCAGCACTTGACCAGTGCAGTATTTCTAGGAATGTCACTCATATTGGATGAATCCACACTTCAGGATTCCTTCTCTTTTGGTTATTAGGTTGAGTTGACAGTTAACCAACTCGGTTTTGTCTGTCGCTTCTATCAAATATGATTATGATGACTATACATGTAGGCTACATGTACTCAGCAGCTTCATGAGATCTGGGAACACGTCTACATTGATAAAAAAGTCAGACAAAGCGGTCTTGCTGTTCTCAACCACTGGGCCGGGGTCCACTGGTGGGCCTCAGGGTGCAATCAAGTGGGATGCGGAGGTACTGCCAAATTGTCAGATTTAATTAATAATCTTTTTTGGGTAATTTACAAAGCTAGTTATTTGTATATCTAAATGTGCTCATTCATGCATTATTTCAATGACCAGTTACGTTTGAGTATCATCTAGCCAATCACAAAAAATCATCAGGTAGAGACAAACATGTTTTGTCACTGTTAGTTACATACAAAGTGATGTGTGAGACAAACCTGTGCCAGTAAAATCTCCAAAGCAGGTGGTGAGGAAAAATTACCCTGAATACATTACATTTAGAGTCATAACGGCAGGCAGGGATGGGTGACGGAAAACAGAACATCTATCTTACATTTATCATTACAGCTGACACTGTCATAACAGATATTTACAGCCCAGTTTATTCTTTTCTCCTTTTTTTGTGATTTTTTGTTTTGATCATTTGTTTGGGCAGGTGGTCCTCAGAATTTGTTATGGGCCTGAGAATCCCTGATCTTCACCACTTTATTTGGAGATAAAAACCAAAAGTGAGCAGACCCAAAATATGACTTCTTGAACAGAACATTGACAAAGTGGATGCAGAGTATAGGTCTGTAAAATGTGGATGTTTACAGTTATGTTTTCTACATCTGACTTTTTACTGTAGCTATGTCGCGGTGTTCAGAGATCTCAGAAATTAACTTGGTGAGTAAAATATTATAGTTACAGATGGCGAAAACTACCCATTTAAGTCGTTGAAAGTTCCGCAAACTAAGTTGGAAACTGGAATTCTTCAAAGGTGACACGGGCAAATGAACTGGGTTATCAAGGCCTCTGCAGTTGACACAATGAATTTTAAGCCAAAGCTGAATTTGTCTGCCATTCAAAGAAATTAGGCTTTTGGATTTGTCTGCCCAGCCATTACTTCCCATGCTCCTTCCCAACTTTATCTTATTACAAACTAATTGCTGTTGATTCCAACACAAGTGTGACAGGCGTTGCTGCCTCAGCGCCAGAACAAGAACAGACTGACTGAAAAGTGGGTGTTAATAACAGTGAACACAGAATCTTTCAAGAACTGGTGATGATGGTGTCACATTTGTGTTAGGCTACACCTATCAGCAAACGACGGCAACAAAGGGAACGTCTACAGATGTGACACAAAAATGTCACGTCTTGCTCCCCGTGCCAACGAAAAAATGTTGTAAAACTGCATGTGAATGAGAGGAGAGAGGGCTGGAGCTTCTTCAGTTTAACCTTTTTAAAAAAGCAATGTTCCATTTATTACAACCTTGGCGTCTTCCATGAATCATTCGGAATCATTTCGCTGCAGTGTTGTGAGCCAGGGGTCTTGGCATGACATGCAGGCGGTGCTGTAGAAGGCACAGTTAATGACACAAAGGTCCTTGGAGCGTTCGTCCTAATGGAGCCCTCACGGAGCACTAAAGGGGATAAAGTGGCCATGTGCGGCACTGTGAGCTTTGACGTTCCGCTTTAACCGATGCCACCCACATTCGCTGAGTCAGGCATCCACTGCTGATCGCGCCCCTTCTGTCCACTTTACATTTCCTTTTGTTCAGCAAACAAAAGAAAGAAAGAAAAACACAGGGCGCAATACAGCATACAGAGACCATATCACCTCACCCTGCAATGAGTGAGAGCTGCAGTAGTCAGTGAAAAAAAAAAAGGCAAGACTGTTGAGAGCTTCTCACAGTCACTCTCAAGTGACTCCTCCACAAAATGTGAGCTGCAGACCCCATGGCCTGAGCCGGAGGAACAAAACAAACTGTCCTTCAGATAGTTTTGTCCACCTAATGCAAAGCTGCTGAGATCTGGCAGGAGTTCATTTCTGCTGCTGGAACTGTAGAGGCTCCCCGAGAAACTCACTCGAGCTGAACTGTAGGTGAGATCAAAATATCTGAAAGTAGATGAAAGGATCATCCGTGTGATACCGAGCCCAACTACGGTGCAATGTCGCCTTAAAAAAGCATTTGGGTGAGTCACGAGGCCCGCCGCGCCAAGCTTATGGGCTCTTGTAGGATCTCTGGGGTTCTCTGCAATAAAATCTCGCCTCAAAGCCTGCATGTACTAGCACACATTGAAATCTTTCTATATGTTGTGGGTGTAGTTACTAAATGGGAGTTCAGTCTGAGTAACAGAGAGCTCACACAACCTCAGATGTGGAGATGTCTTCTGGTCAAGCACCGGGTCAACCACAACAATAGAAGATGACTGGTACGAGCTCTTATGGCGGAGCTGTGGGCTAAGCATAGACAGAGACGAGGGAGTGGGAGGCGAAGCAGGAGAAAGAAATAGGAGTGTGGGTGACTCACGTCTATGTAGTTGGCATTGACGTAATCGGAGCTGGGGTCTGCAAGCAGAGAGTGAAGCTTGACTCGATGGCGATCATCTGCAATGCACAAAAAAAGGATTTGGCTTTTATTAATACAAAAGCAGATCTCAGGCTGTCAAATGAAACACCGTAGGTGTGGAGAGAAAGGGACAGGACATGCAATAAAAGATCCTCGACCTGAACCGAACCAGGGGCGCTGTGGTTAAATAGCATGTGTCTTAATAACTTCACCACTGAATGCTGCGCTGGTGAATAGTTTGTCTCATCAACTAGAGAATATTCTTGCTTTATTAGAACAGTTTGAATATCATATCTACCAATACAAATTACACTGTCCTCAAAGAAAACAATCCTGGAGCCTGACACAAGCAGCCAGACAATCACACAGATTATTACAAACACGGGTGCAAGGATCCAATATCTTCTCTAATGATACATCTTGTGATAGCTACGCTAAGGCTGTCTGCTGATAGTGAGTATTGATCGGATACCACTGCTCTCTTTCTCTGCAAACCTCACTACGTAGAACTCATCTTAGGAGAGTACAATGTCAACCAAAAGAAAGGATTGCCAAAGCTATGAAAGCAGAAAGCGTTAATAATGTGGATTGATGCTTTCGGGGTCAGTCCGCAAAAGCTGTGACAACACCTGCCTCAGCTGCTACCACACCTGGAGAGTTTAATTCATCTAGGCTTCAATTCAGAGTTTTAACACCCAAATGTTATTTCTGAGGGTTTCCCGCATTGAAAACACTGTTTTCCCGAGAAAACTATTTGCATCCATAAATCATGCATAGTTGCATGAATTCACCATATAGTTATTTTCAAATTGCATATTTTTCTGTTTCTGTTGTCAGACTATTAAACTGTAATCATTGAATTGCGCCACCAATACCACAAACCAGCCACCCGCTGGGTCTGTGATGAAACCTGCCTCACCTTTTGAACGCTTCTATCACACCTTAAAGAACTTTGATTAGAGTCTCATGACTATTAATGTAATTCCTAGGGCTGTTCCACATTGACTGTAAAAGAACACTACGCTGCATTAAGATATTGAATGTTCCCGCTATCGAGACTAACATTTCAAAAACACTATTAACAATCAATTGTAATTAATCAAACCGTAATTATAACGAGGGTTAATTTTCCTCGAATCAACAACAATTCCACTGGGAGTAAAAATAATTATTGGGTGGTGTTAACAGACTTTTAAGACACGGTAGTCGTGTCGTTAAATGGCGATGTACTTTACAGTGTATGTATGAACAGCTATGAATGTTAAGATGTGCGACTGAATCAGAGCCAGGTTACAACAGCATCAAGTGTTTCTTTCTTGCAGCCTCACAGTACTTACGGTTAAGCAGGCTGTCGTGCCTTCCTTTGGTCTTGTCCTTCTTTTTCGTGACGTCCCAGCCATCAAAAAAACTCTGCAAAGTTAGAGATCACACGTTGAGTTTAATAAGACAACATATTACAAAATCTTTAAACTCACAGTAGAAACAACTTTGCAAAATGCACTCCAAAGTGTTACCCTAAGGTTGTCTGCGTAACTTCCCTATTATAGCATCTTGCCAAGTCATCAACAGACATCTGCCACAACATAGCGGGGAGAGGCTGAGGCTGAGAGATGACATGCGGCACTGAGAGATGGCTGCGGCCTTGAGGAGGAGGAGGCGACCCACTGCAGTCATTCTCCTTCTACGCACGGTGTGGGGCTCACTGCCTGAAGAAGGCATGGCTCTATAATACCTCGGTTTTAAACTGCTACATTTGTGACAGCTGTTTATGACACACCCATCTCTTTAATCTGCTGGCACAACAAGATGTGTCATTGAATTTAAATTAATTCTATATGTGAGAGAAGAGCAAGAGCGTAGACGGTCCTGGCTTGAGTCGTGTCATATTCCGTTGCATTTTAATCCAACATTTTAATTGTTAGACAGCCATGCTCTCGAACTGATGCATGGGGTCTCTCATCGGCAGCCGACCAATCCCCCCAGGGCGAGGGCGGACCATATTGGGACCACCTGAGACCCCGGCAGACTCGCGCATAGCCAGCTGATCAGGGGATCACATCTGTCACTGGATCCTGTACAGGTAATGTCTGATCCAATCCTGCTTAGCAAACCGGCCTTTCTCCAGCACGCTGCATTTTCTGGAGCCTCAACAACATTCTGTTCACCTTCTTGGAGATTTACACGATTTATTTCCTCTCCATTCGTTTATTAGTTGTATTGGACATGATCGACACTGAAATAATAAACTGTAACATTAATAATTCAGGAAAAAGGTTATTATTTATTAACTAATTGGGTCTGTATGGGTTGCTAACATTAGCATACAACCCAACAGCCATCATCAATTTTCATTGAAATGATGAAATTACCAAATCTTTGTTGTTGCATGGAAGACGGCAACATCAATGCTCTCCAACCAAGCCCCGCCCACTTAAAACAAGTGAAAAAATACAGAAATCTTGCAAACAACCAAAACTGTTCTAACCTTGGCAGAATTGTGTGTTCATGTCGGACCACATGAAATTGAATCCACAGGAGCCATTTAATAGTTTGTCCATCATATATACCTTCGCACAGCTGATTACAGCTGATCCGATTCTGACAAAAATTGAAATTGCAGCACAGGAATTTGTCTGAGCCAAAGATTAGTTTGAGGTCATTCAGAAACAGTTTTGCCAGCACTAATCTATTTCTCTTGTAGCTCACAGTTCTTTAAAGCAGCATTGAGCCACTTGTTAGCCACTTGGAGCTTTAATGATCGAAGCTAAGGGTTCCTTAACAAAATGTTGAAACACAAATGTTGGCAGGAATATGAAGAAAACAGTCAGATTGAATTTAAATCTAAATGATCAAACTCAATATTGCAACTGGCACAATAACTGTTTGGACTCGACATCATATCACTTGCAGTGTTGAGGGGAAGCTGCAGTTCCAGGTGAAAAGAAGATGACAGATTTATCCATAGGAGGGCTGCATCAGTCATGGAGAATGAGACGATTTCTGCAAATGTGTTTATTCACTGCCTCTGGTTCCAGATGTTGGCTTCCATGCACAACACATATAGTACCCTACCCACACAGAGAGCCTGCCTCATATACAGCCCCCCATAATGCCTTGCAACATGTCTGATCAATGGCAGCAGCCTGACCCTGTGGGAAATAATGGTTCTGAAGTCTGACAGCAGTGTGCACGCTGATCCCGCTCATCTTGTTTATTTCTCCAGGCGATGGGGAGCCAGACTGACGAGTGAAAAAGTGACCCATATATTGATTTTGTTGGGGGGAAATTTGTTGGGCCCTCGGGGATCTTAATGAATCGAAAAAGTGCATCTGGCTTCCTCCAGGTGAATGAGCGAAAAAATAAAGATTCATCCCCACTGCTTGATGTGAAGGACATCATATAGTAACTTCGAAAAGCATGATTAGTCCACACAGCACCAAGTTCAGTATATCTGCAGTCTTTCTGTAATGCAGATGCAGTGAAAGACACTGTGGTTGTCTGCAGTAACACAGAGATAGGCTTTTTACACTTACTGCAAATACAGCACAACATCATTATATGTAGCATGATTTCCCCTAATTGGAACTACAGGACGTAGCCAAAACCATGAAACACAGCCCGAGACCCAAAGTAAACCCAAGTACGACTATAGACCATCTTTCTTTTCTCACTCCTACCTCATATTCTTGTTTGAAGCCATACCCTTCAGCCGTCTTCATCTGGTTGATGTGCTGGAGGAGGTCAGCCACCCTCACTGCAGGGTGGAGCTGACCCGTGTGATAAGGCGAGCTCTTCCTCCGACAGTGACGGTGGGGCGAGCCTCCCAGTAAGCTGCTGGACTCGTTGACGGAGCTACGCTGCTCATCTGGGAACATGAACACATACAATTCAAGGCATGCCGCTGCTGACATTATGCACTCCTCGTCGTGGAGTCTGTCCTTTTCTTTTTTTTTTATTAATGTAAACTCGGCTGAAAACTCTAGGGGGGAGCTCAAGGAAAAACAAGTCCACGCTTGTGCAGAGACGTGGGGGCTGACTGGCACTGCGGAATATTCAAACAGACGGAAGACTTGCAGGAGGTTTCTCTGTTGAGAGCACCTTATGGTCTGGCAGAACAGATTGGATACATGCTTGGAAGTAAACATGGCTGAAGGTCAGGAAGGAGGGAGCTTCATCTCTCCAGACACTTTCTCAAGAGTACCCATATGTTCCGAGCTGTCTTACTTCGAGCGTTGCAGCCGTGGGCATCCATGAAGGAGTGGGCCATCTTCTCATCCTGCTGGAGAGTGCTCTGCTCCGTCATGCTGCAGTCTAAAGAGCTCAGCTTCCGACTTTTCTCCTGCCTGTAGGACATGGCTGCCTTGTTTATGGCCACCTTCTTCCTCCTGTAGAGATGCCGAGAGAAAGAGAGAGAGAGAGAGAGAGAGAGAGAGAGAGAGAGAGAGAGAGAGAGTAAAGAGTAATAATAGACAGAGGACAGCAGAGACGGGGCAGAATGAGAGAAAGAAAAGCAAAGAGATAAGGGAGAAAAGAAAGGAGGACAGGTGAGGAGATGAGAAATTGGACTGAGGGGGAAATATAAGGGCTACGAGATTGAAACTGGACGAGGGGGAAAGTGTGATTTGGTGATAGCAAAAGAGTGTCAGGGGTGGCGGTGGGGTTGTGGTGGAGTTGGAGGAGCGAAAGGAGGAATGAGGGGGGGGGGGGGTCTATACTGGAGGATGGGGTGGAGATAGCAATGCTCATTTCCACTCTAGTAATCCTGGGACTACGAAGGGCAAGCAAGGGGAAGATGGCGTCAGGATGTCAGGCTGGGAGATGGAGAAAGGAGTAACTTACGGGTAGTAAGAGTAAGAATAGAAGTCCCTTCTGATTAGCATGAGGGAGGAGGAAAGGAGAGAGACAGAGAGTGAGGAGAAAAAAAAAAGAAAAGTGACTATGGTTTATCAAGATGGGCATCAGAAAGATAAATGAAGATGCTCAGTGGGTTGGAATGTTCCTAGCAAGCAATCATGAAGCAGGATCAAAGCATAAAGAATGAAGGACGGGCCTGCTGCACACCAAAACTCAGCTCTGGACCAATGAAAGCAATTTTCTGAGGTTGCCATAGACTACACCTGCATTGAGGTTGCTGTATTTAGGATCCTGTAGTCATTTCTTAGCCCTTTCCTGTAGTAAGTATAATAACTTCTCATGTAAACATCAGAGAACCATGTTTAAATTGAAGAACACACTTAATTATTGAATAAATGAATGAAAACATAGGACAGGGAAAATACTATATTTTCAAAGAACTAAAGACGCACTGCATTATTTTCACCAGTGTGAAATCTGAATTGTTGAGCAGTGAGCAGTGTAACTAGGCATCCTTGATTGTGCTAAACTTCTTGAAAAAAGGTGCTTTTATGTATTTGAAAGAAAAAAATAAAGGAATTTAAATGTTGCATAGGAAATAGAGGGGTTGATGTGTGTGTCTAAACTATCCAAAATGTCTGGCCTTAAAGCATTTGCAGAAAAAGTTGCTCGCTCCTCCACTTTGCAGAAAGTTTGAAGTTGAGCCAAGTTTTGGTGTGCAGCAAACTATTTTTGTTTCTTCGATTCCATTGCCCGTGTTTGACCAGCACCCCACTGAATTACACTGCAAGGGATCTGAAATGTTCCTATTGATGACTGAACCAAAACATAGTTACGGTATACAGTCTAACTTTATATGAGTGACAATATCTGGTGGCTAAATATAAACACGTCTGCTCCCGTTTTCCTCCATGCGGCTTTTGTGCGTGCGAGATAGGCCCGATGAATCTTATCAGTCACTGCCTCCTACCAGACATCCCATTCACTCTCCCTCTATTCTCTTTGAGAAAATTCCTGAGGGCAGAGAAGTTCTTCTTTCCAAAAAAAATAAATGAAAAAAAAAGCAAAAACAACCTTCCTAACCAATTACTAGCCCATCCACTGGCACCTCACAGCTGCTTGCCTCATGTAATTGAGTGGGCAATGGAATAACATGCCCCTTGATGAAATATTTCACACTCAGATGAGCGTTCCACCGTCGCCCAGCGAGCGAAGGAAGAATACACTGCAGGTGCGATCGACGACAGAGGTAATTTGCAGGTGGAAGGCAGCCAACGATTCCAGTGTAAGCAGGCTGCATTTGAATGTGCTCAGCCAACACACAGACCTTGAAATTAAAAGATGAGATGAAACACAAAAGCTTGGCTGAGGCAGCGGTGGGAGAATTTGGGATTAATGCTCTACCATTCCGCTAACTCTGGTTGTAATTCACTCTCATTGCCAAAATGCTTACTTCAATAGACCCTAGCTGCCAAGTGGGATAGAGATAAATTTACTGCTTTGGATAGGCTACACAGGAACAATAAGACTTAAGGCCGTTAATGTTTGAGTCTGAAAAGGTCTAACCCATCTCTCATATACTGGCCTGCAGACACACAAACATTTTCGCAGCCACTTACCCCTTCTTGACGATGATGACGATGGCCCCGAGAAGCAGAATGAGGACCACCAGACCACCGGCGCAGGCCCCCAGGATAAGTCCCATGTCTTCGGCATGCTGGGATACCTCCAGAGCTCGCTTGGAGTCCTTACAGGCAGCTGCACCGTGCGACAGAGAGGTGAGGAAGAGAAGGATGCGTATCTTACAAATACAGCCATTTTTAATGGCTATTCAGCTCTAATCGCAATACAAAATGTGCTGTAGTGGTTTGGCGTCAATGAATCATTGTCACATTAATTTCAGCATAATTACCAAAACAATCAAAAGAGGATTGGCAGTCTATGCTTGTCTAAAGATAAAGATAATATCTTAACAAAACACTGACTGTTATTTGCTGGAACAGCAGTGCACTGGAATTATGATTTAGTAGCGTCTGCATAGCTAGATAATACTAATGGAAGTGTGTATATTAGTTTTGTTTTTTATTCTGTGGCTGAATCACTCAGTAGGCTTCAAACATCAATCATCTTTTTGCATCATCAACACTGACAGGTGTAGGTGATCATTGTCACATCTAGAAACTCCTATGCATTGCATTGTGGGATTGTTAGCACATAGTAGTGTAGATGCCATGGACTGTGAGGGCAAATCAATGTCAATATCCGCGAGAATAAATGAGATCCGCTCGCGCGCGGTGGTAAGTGAAAGCACTCGCAAAAGTAAAATGCGTGCGCAGCATTTTGAGTTGCACGCGCGAGACCTCTACACACACGCACGGATTTCATTTGTAGTCGCGGATACTGACATTGATTTGCCCTCATTATGGACACTGCTTTTATTTTGTTCCATTGAGGGCATACATTTTACACGTTTCGGACATGGGCACCTACATGTTGGGTCTTTAACCTGTTGCATAGGTCCCGGAGATTGTACCCTGTACAGAGGTACGCTTCTTTATAGTTATCATGCATTGAGCTGCCTGCAGAAAATATTTTCATAGAGCCTATCACTGCGATACTTCAAAGACTGCAGCTCACTTACAAGTCTAATTTTTTTAATATGCCACCAGCGATGGATACAAAACAGTTGGTGGTGTTGTGGATCTGAGTCTTTTACAGTAATCCATTGCAGTGCACTGACAGGACAAGGATCGTCACTCCGTGGCGTTAAATGCACCAGGCTGATTCAACCAAGAGGGAGTGAGGTGTGTTAGAGGTCGACGCAAATCTAGTTTGAGTTTTCACAGGAGAGACAACAGACAGCAAGCTTGTGTATTACTTATTGTTTGACAGCATCTGAGACGGCACTATTTCACACTATTTCATTGCACTGATATCAGCGACGTCTACAAAGGGGAGCTAAACATGTTTGGCTCGGGAGAGACGACACTTTGGTTATCTTAGCAAACTGATGCATGCTCTCATTCAGGCAGCCATTTCCCTCCGAGCCATATGTCACAGTCGCAGAGCATTTCTGTCTGCCTTCCCATCTCAGCTAGCGAAGAGCATGAAATCTCCCTCTGTGAATCATCTGGGCCCCCTGTTGTGTCATATCCAAAGGTGAAAAATTGCTATTAACTATGAATGAATTGAAGGCGCATTATTACTCTTCTGGCAGCGTGTTATTCATTAACGAGTCGACTCACTGATGAGAAAACGAATAAGGTGGGGAATAAAACAAAATGCAGAGAGGTGGAATCATTAAAGGGTCTCGGGCATGTATTGATGAGCTTGGCAGCACAATTCAATTGGAGAACATTTCTGTATTTTAACAAATCAATGATGCTTCAAAAGGAATGTTGGATGCGTTTGTGATTGGCTGAAAAGAGAAAAAAAAACCTTTACAGTGAGGTAGAATGCTGAGTTTGGCTTAATAAGCTGTGGATTGGTGGTGACTATAGCTCCTGGCAGACAATGCAGCCTGGCAGACTTGCCACAATCACACAAATCATGCTGGGTGACTCATTCTGCTTTTAGGGCCATTTTTTAAAATTGGCTATCACAATAAATTTCATTGCACCAAAAAAAAAAAAAAAAAAAATCCAGCTGTGGTTCTGCAAAGAGATCCACAGGGACAACATCACACAGCCCATTACTGAGGAATTTTCTTTGTAATGTGTTTTATGATGACCCTGACGGAGGCTATAAGCTGAAATGTGCTGGTATGACAATGAAGTTGTTATGTGTTGCAGGAGTTTTGACCTCTTCAGGAAACAAAAAAGCAGTCAGGAATGGTCTTAAGAGGAAATCTGTGCAGGAAGCGCAACACAGATAAAACAAAGTAGCAAATAAAATGTGTATTTCAGTTAAAAAGATTCTCAGAGCAGCAGAATGGTGAGTATGGCGTGTTGTAAGGGCTGAGGAAATGTACATTTAGCAATTTCAGAATTAACAGCACATCAAGAGAACATTTAAACGGGGGCAGATCACAAAAAACAAAAATTGCCAAAAATGTGAGTCACATTTTTCTATTTGAAACCCACTCATCTAATATAAGCTGGTTTCAAATAAAGGTCCGGGCCACTTCATTCAACTGTCACACAGATTTTAAGCTACATTTTCAAATGCTGCACAGGCTGATTGTGAATGTGATGCTTTTCTACCGGCTGAGCCGACATGAATAAAAAGCCTGCTTTTGTAGCACAATGGCGAATCTTTCGAGACGATTTGAGTCGTAACATGGTCTCACTGTTCTTTCGTGTCAGCTAATGTTGGCCACGTTTCCTCTAAGGATAAAAAAACCAAAACCAAGAAAAGCGCCCGGGTGGCGAGGAGAATCACACTCTCCCACCACTGCAGTGGCTCGGCCAGGTGTGCTGGTGAACACAGCTGGCGGCATCTGGGGGTGGGAAGCTGGGTGAGAGGAAATGAAAAGCATCCAGGAACGGTCTTAACGGGACCTTTGTGGCACCTCTGGAGCAACATCAGCATGTCCTCTGGGCCTGCCTGCCACAGTCGTACAGTATATGCACAACTACAGTAAAAAAAAAATAAAAAATGGCTCCCATAAATACACCTGCAACCCTTCTCTTCTCTTCCACTTACGTGACGCGCCGGCAGACAATAGTAAGGCAGAATTCTTTGATGTCATCGCACTTCAGATAAGAAAGAGTTCGGAGAGAGGAATCCAATTTAACTGCCACCTCTCTCAAGAGCACTACAAACTGCAGACATAATTCAGCGGGGAGGAAGGGAGGAACAACTCCATTTCACCCTCCGTCTCTCTCCCTCTCACCTATTGTTTGAACTGAGAGCCTTCTATCTGTGTCTGTCTCTCAAGCAAACACCCCGGGTCACTTCCTCTCTCGGGGAGAAAAAAAGGATACGTTTCTGCAATCTGGATTTCAAAGGCATCCGAGCCCAAGAGGAGTTTGCCAAAATGTCAGTGTCAGTGATTCGAGAGGAGCGGAGAGAGAGAGAGAGAGAGAGGACACAGACGCATGTTTGCTTTCACCTTCCCTCCTGTGTCTCTAGTGTGGGAGGTTGGCACAGGGGCATCGTCCCTGCAGCGCCCCAAAACAACGCTAAGTCCGTTTCAAATCCCCCAAGCAGCGGCCTGAGCCAGGATAACTGTTCGAAGTCTGTGACATGCACCCCTTATACCACAAAGATGAACCCACTGGGACCGCAAATGTATCCTACAGTGGTTATGATCACCCAGAGAGTCACAATTTCACTTTTTCAACATTATGTTGGCCAGGAAAAGACAATCTGAGGCCTCTGTCTAGCATTTTCAGGACATAGCTTTATATAACCTTCTTTTTGATACTCTCATAACACTAAATTATAGCATTTACTTCAGCAGCTTCTTTGTTGAGACATGGGGATGTGACACTGCAAGACAGAGTTTAATAAAGGAGTCTATGGGACAACCGCATGAGCAGACAGACATTGAACCTCATTATCTCAACTAGTTATTATAATAATCATAATTATCCATTAAAATCCTCAAATCAATGCCTTTGGTACCGCAGGATATAGTGCAAACACAAAGGAGCTGTGCCAAATATAGCGCAAATCCTACAAATACGACGGAGTTAAGATAACTGTAACATTTAAATGAATTTTTACCTCAGAGTAAGTGGTCTAGATGAAAGGCTTCAACCAGGGACTTTTTAAAAACCTGTCTGACTGCTAATGTATTTGCCGCAGGACCCCGGTTGCGAAGCTGTCATTAGCATCCCTGCAAATCCCATTTCTCAACAATGAAGCTCACAAGTGAATGAAAGTTAGTCGGCTTCAATATAGACGACTCCGGAACAGTTAACGGTGTCGTGCAACACACTAATCACGTCAAACGTGATCGTCCACAGTACAATTAAATGTATCATGCCTCCAGTTAACAGTAAATCAAGTGTGTAATGAAACTGCTCATCTATAGCCATGATTCCACGAGCACCTGCACAGTAACTCAGAGCAATTTCTCATTCAGCATATCTGCCGTTGGTCTTCCTGACCAAATGAAGCATGTTCCTGGGATTGCTACTTATAAAATGGGAGCTTGGTAGGGCTGCTGTTTTTGTTTTTTTGTGTGGCTCTTTGTAACTTGAACTTCCTTCGATATACCTGCACTAAGAGAACTCTCTGTGTACTGTAACGCCATACAGTAATCCACATAGGTAGCTTACCATGTAAAAGGCACATAACAGAGGCCAGCAGATAGCCTCCGTGATCGTCATGTTAAAGGCGTACTGAATCATAACTAATGTGACAATGACATATTGATGTGGAAATACAAAAGGAAAGCAAGTGTTACCTTTGCGAGCAATCCGAATGCAGTTTATTCTGGTCTCCTGTGAGTAAAAGAAAAGGCTTAGTTTATTAATTTGGCAACGGTACCACGAAGTCACAATGATCAGCAGGAAAGAACGACAACAGTTCAAGTCGATTAATTATAAGTCAGTCTGTCGAAATCCACAACCTCGTCTGAAACCTGCAACACAGGTGGCGGCGTGTGTCACAGTCACCCAGACCTTCGTTACGTGGAGGAAATAATTGAAGTTTCCAAGTGGATGACATCTGCTTGTAATAGGAGAGACCTCTGCTTCCCTCCACCATTTGAGGTCCCTCACACAGGTCCACCGATTGGCTCCAGCCCCCCCACCCCAAAAACAGCCACCTCTATCCCAGAGATAGAGGGGCATGTTACCAAATTAAGATTTAAGGAAGTTAAATCAGCCTTTATAGGCAATTATGCTAATCTGTGCTCTGAGATTGGAGTCAAAAACCTTTCACCTAAAACGGTTGCCAAATTAGCTTTTTTAATTGGAAATCTGTTTCAAGTGGATTCTCATCTCCTCTCATCTCTTACAGTGACATATAAGTCATATTTACTCCCACCCGGGGGTTATTAAAGCAGCAGCAGGTAGTATGTCATGTGTCATCCTGTCCTCTGTCAAGGTGGGCATTTGGCTTTTGGAACGGACACCAGTGCTTGTAAAAAAAAATGTTAATCTTGTTAAGAGGAGGGACATCCAGTATTTTGAATCTCCATCCTTGGGCTGGATTTCAAAAGCATTTTATCAAATTTCAGTTCAATATTGGCGCTGGGTATGAATTCTGAATCCTTTCTAATGCCTTACAGAATCAAATGAGGTTTAGCGTACAGTGTTCTAAGTAAATAATGGTATTAATAACACAAATCAACTGAGATACATAAACATGTTTTGTTGTCAGAGTGTACCTTAACACTACATATTTGTTAGTTAGTCTGGTTAATGTTCACAATCTTGAGATGTTCTGAAATGTATTAAATGTATTAACCACATTAAAATAAAAGCCTTCTAACCCTGCACACATTATATGCATTTTTTTTAGCAGTTCCTAATTCAGAACAAGTGATTAAATTAGCCCAAAACATAAATATGAAATGCATGAATGCTACAACATAGCATTGAGATACTGTTTCGCATTAACTCTCCTTTGAGCTCTGTTTTTGGTCTCCACCAACTCCTCATTTAAATATCTGTCTCTTTAGCAGAATTGTGTTCACCAGCTAGTTGCTGACTTTCTGCTATTTACTGTGGAGTAGGTACAGCACAGTGTGTTTATCAGAGCTGAACCAAAACAGGTTAAAGATGCTAAAGCTCTTCGTAGAGCAGGGTGGAACACCAGAGTCGGATGATAATTCTCTGTGGGTTCATCAGCGATACCTTCCAGTTTACCTCAGAGTACAGACACTGACTTGTACAAACCACTGGCTTACAAACAATAGTCATTCTGGGGTTTCAGCAAGTATCTTACATACAGAATTAACAGCAATTGGCTGTAGTTGAAATAAACTGCTGCCAGCTACATTTGCCAATACCCAATTATTCGCATGTCAGTTTATCCAGTGAGTAAAAACTGGGATGAGTGACAGCTAATCCCAGATGATGAGTCATAATAAATGCAACAGAGGGTTGAAAATGAAATATCAGCATGCCGGTATTTTTCTATTTTTAGTGTAACAGATAGCAGGTATCTAGATAATGACTCTTCAGACTTGATAGGGAGAAAACGTACGTAGAAAAATGCGTGTTGTTTCATGCTTGTGTGTTTCCAAAGAAACTGGCAGCACCAATAATGCATATTTCAAGCCCCACTGAAGACACATCTGCCAAAGCAATATTGTTTCAATTCAATGGCAGCCCATATAAGCATCGTACATCTAATTGTAAAAATATTATTTTTCTACCTCCCTGAGTGGCCCTTCTCTCTTGAAACGCAACTATGGTTCAAAAAATATATTGGAGACGAGATCAACATGAATTATAATATCCAGTTTGTTGTGTCGGCTCAGAGCTGCTGTGTCAACAGCAGCGACTTACGTTGGTCTTCGGGGAGAATCATCACAAATAGTGGTCTACGATGGGTAAAGCTCATTGCTGATGTCAGATCACTTGGGAAATTTCAGTCAGAATGTCGGCCCTGACCTGGACCAGAGGCTGACTGTGGTCTGCCTGTCTCTGGAGGCCCACTTTGCAGCACCCAGAGAAAACTGGATGCATCTGCTGAAGAATCGGATACTGATATCTAGACGAGAAGCTGCAGCCAGGTAGGCGCACATAAGCTCCATATGGGCCCTAATGATTTAAACAGCATTTCCTTTCACTGCTTCTGTGCACATAGGCTGTCGAAGTTCTTATTCATGCTTCAGTCACTTTTCCAATTGCTCAAGAAGTTCCCCATCAGGTTGTTTTAAGCCTGGGAGGCAGTGTTTGATTTTTTCCCCACAGGGAAAACTATTTTTTCATAGTTTTTTCAAAGAGCTTGAATATTAGGGAATCTGACAACTGGTGAAAAAAATGCAAGAGTACATATTGTAATTATCCCCTCAAAGCTGTTAAGATGCATTCGCCAAATTGCTTGTGTGGTGGTTAAGAGGGGTTTTCATTGAGCATTGGTGAAACATTTACAAGTCCGAGATTTAACCAGAAAACAATCAACCCAAAGCCATCCTAAAAGTGCACACTCTACATCATTTTGTAAAAAACACAGCCTTGTTCAAGCTTCCTCTCTCACAGCACCTCCAGCACACCGCCTCCTGCCGTCTGACTTCCTCGGCACAAATCTAAATTGACTCTCAAGGTTGCTGGAACATAAAAGCAGTGTGTCTGAGCTCCAGAACCAAAAGCATTGTCAGGCATCTTAATAGTGCTTACCCCTCTGAAGTTGCTGGTGGCCTGAAAGTAGATGAGGTAGTTTTTGGTGGGATCTAAAGGGCTGTTCCAGTAGCCGTTGTAGGTGTGGTTGTCGCCCACAGTGAAGGGCGTGGCCTCGGGCAGACTGCTGGGGGCCAGCTCGGCTGTGTAGTAGTGCGGGGCCCCTTTGGCCTGCGCCTCGCTGTGAGAGTTTGATGTGGGGAAACAGTCGACGGTGCCCAGCTCCCTCCTCCTCACCTGACGGGAACCATCCTCTTCCACCAACACCACCTGGTAGGCACTGCAGGAGGAAAGGGTGGAGCTCAATACTCCAAAAAACAACATGAAGTACTATTGAAGCAAAACTGTTATCATACTCTGCAGTCATATAAATATGCATACTGCATGTCTGACGAAACAATCGTTTATCGTATGACAGGGAGCCAGTCTGTACACCGTCATAAATGTTTATAACATTTAGAGTAATTAGTTTATTTTTTGCTTGGCTTCTTTGCTCTGATTATCTGACTGCTCGTGTTTGTCCCCCCCATCACTTCTGTTTTGTGCCACCACATTTCCAGATCACAGCAATTAACTTGGTAATTAATGACAGAAATTAAGCTAAATTCCAAGTCACACAATTTCCCCTTGAAATAGTGATTCAATACTTGTAATGGTACCCATTCTTCTGAGGGGAAAAAAAGAGTTGTTCTAAATGCTGCTTTATATTTATGGAAGTCACAACCATTGTTACTATTGTAATTCTTTTGAAGAAGAAATATAAAGTTGAAAGGAAAAACATATATCTTTGCATATCTTGAGAACTGCTTTAATCTGATCTACATCACACTTGGCCGGTGTATTGCTGGGGACCCAAGGGACTTCAGAGTCGTATATGGTACAATTTGGACAAGCAACTCGTTTAATATTTATGAACTCTGAAGAGCGCTCTGTGCAGCAGCGGGGGCGGAGTTTCAGTACTCTGCAGTCCAGCATGTCGTCCGCAGTTCACTTTTGTGGCTGGATGCTTAATATATAGCCTGGTAACATTATGTATATGGTGGATAAGTTTACAATCAAACTTTTCTTTACTTCTCTGGACTTCGACTGTGCTCAAAATTACATACTAACGTAGGCCTATATACTCAATCAGTATGTACTGCATACTGCCTGTTAAATGAACAATGAAGCATGATTTAACCAGCAGACTGTTCACACCGTGGGTTTACTGAAGCATGCTTGAGTGACGACCGGGCTGGTTTCAAGACAACCCGTAGCGGCTTTCACATCTCTGATTACGATTGCAGCAAATAAACGGACCACATGTTAGGAATCTAAATGGTTACTTTTCTTGCATGAAAACATATTAAAACTTTCATTAACAGTACTTAAAAGTTTTTGAATTAAAATGACTAACTATTAGTAAAACTACAAACAACGCAGAGAAAAATATTTACATTTTTACTTCAAGTGTAGAGTGAAAGAGAGGCATTATCAGCACAATGCCATCAATATTACCTAACGTCTGTTCAAGGTGGAGCCTTCAATTTATGATGCTGGATAGTTCAATCAATAACAATTCTAGATATTTAAATTATTATATGATTCGTGAGTAAAATCTGAATCTGCAATGTAACCAGATTGTCATTCAGGTCAATAGAGCACTACAATGTTTTCCTCTGAAGGTGAAGTACACAGTAAGTAGTATACAGTTGAGTTGCCTAGTTTTTAAGTGCTTATGGGTTCCTTTAGAAAATCATTTTCGGGTACAATGAGAAACATAATTGAATATTCTAGAGAAAGCTGCAAGCAGATACACCACTGGCAAAGCAATCAAAGCAAGTATTATCTCAATACTTTAATCATTTTCTTTTTTTAAACTAAAGTCCACCAGATCATTTTTATTGGTGTGTTCATTACATTCTGTCAAACATTATAAATTACAACATCAAAACGCTAAATATATTGAAAGAAATTCAATACAGTACTGTTTGTCTTTGACAAAGCCTCATATGCCAAAGCAGCATACACTTCTGTTTGCATTGTTATGTTTGACGAAGAGAAATCCATTCTTCCGCAAAGGATTGGAGTTTCTTTTTCAGCTTTTCCTCAAAGCCTAGTGTTTCCATTTCTCTCAACCCCGCTTCCTCGTTACAGTGACACAGCTGTCAACGCGTCAACATGCGATTGGTTTGGCATGTGGTGTCATTCCAACTGTCTGACGTGGTGAGTCAGGCTTCAGGGTAGAGAGAGCCATATTTATGTTATTTCGTTTTTTGGGTGGTTGTTTTAATACTAGCTCAGACACTGGACACAGCTCAACCTATGAGGAATACAGCCCTGGTAATCAATAATCAACACTCTGTAGAGAATGTTAGTAGAAAACCACTCTGGTTCTTCATACATTGTACTTAAAATGGTATTTGCTACATGCTACAAGCACAGAGAACTATTTTCTGGCAGCTATAAGAGAGCTCATTTTGACTGCGGGTATAAATATCACAGTGAGGAAGAGCACTGAATGAATGCTGGTGTGGGAGTGAACACAGAACACAGTGTATTAGTTGTACCTGACTGGAGCACCTCTCGCCAGCGCAGGGCGCAGCAGCACAGTGATGGTGCTCTCCGACTCACTCAGCGGTGAGGGGATGTCTTCATAGTCGAACACCGGGGCTGCGAAAATAAAATAAAGAAGGGAGACCACATAGAGGAGTTAAAGCAGAGTCAAGATAGTTGAAATACTGTGGGAGAAAAACAGAATCATTTAATGTTTGCATTCCAAAGAAAGAGATTTAAGCTTAGAGACAAGTAGATGCACTTCTTCTTGGATGTTTTAGTGATCTTTCCACCCCTGCATGACATATAGTGCGCTATCTTTATTCATTACCCACACATGCCCCCTGTGTACTGTAGTTTGTGGAGGCCTCCCACACACACCGCCATTGACTGATGATGGGTAGAAACAGCAGCCGACTACAGAGAAAACAAAAGGCCCTTATAATATAATTAGGACGGATCTCAAAGCTGCACAACCTCAGCAAAGCTCTGGGGACAATGAGGTTGAGTGTTCCCATCTCTGTTTACTACGGGGAGTGAGTTAACTGGAGTATGCATTGAAGCAAATGGCTTTCCTGGCCCAACAGATAAGCTAAAACAAAAAGGCTCCAGAAAGCAATTGGAAATGTTTCTGCTACTTAAGCAGGGCATTAATGCTGGTTGTAAAAAGTCTGCTTATGTAACGTGTCACCGGAAAAACACACACCCTCACGCTTGCACAAAACAGCCGGGGTCTGCATTATGCATAGCGGCTTCGAGGAGTTGTTTGAGCCGGGGCCGCATGTTAGGTGGTTAAATCCAGCATGAATTATGAAAAGAATAACATTACACGTTTCTCGTGTTTGCTTCAACTGGTGCAGGAGCTGGCTTCCCCACTGAGACGGCTCAGCCGAGAGAGAGCATGTGATACTGTTGAATTGTGCACCTTGACAGCTGTGAGCCCACACAGGCCACCTTATCAACTAGATGGAACAGGTCCAGATAATGAGAGGGATGGATAACAGGAGGCATTATTTACAGCGTCGGGACAAAGGAAGGACTTGAGATTTATCTTCCTTGTAAAACTCTTGGTGTTTCGATCCATTCTTTAAATACTCTTTATCTCATTTTAACCAATTTGTTTTTTTGTCTTTCTCTTGATTAACCTTACTCCATGTTTTGCATCAGCAATATCATCCTTCACAACAACTCCTCACTATCATTTCTATTGCACCTGTGTGGCTCCACTAGTTGGAAGTGGAGTGTGAAGCTCCAATAGGCTGCACTACAAAAATAGCTGCTCAGGATGGAAGACAGCATAAGAAATAAAACATAAAAAAGTACACAATTTAATAAGCTAAGTTTGTGCACAACAGCCCCCCCCCCTTTAAGGAGAGACGATGTGACACTTTACACGACACACATACTGTATATTGCTCATTACTGTTCTAAAAAGGCAGAGCTGCGACAGTATACAGCCGCCGGCTGTGAGCAGAGCTGTTGTGTTTGACCACCTGACGCTATGATGTGCTGTGACCACTCTTTACTGCTCCTGTTAACATTAGCCAAGACAGCATCATTAAGCCTCACTGGATTTAAAACCTGCCGCCATGGACGGCGCTACCAACACAGCACAAGGAGTTCAAGAAAACAATACGCTCAGGCAGCACAGCAATGTCAATTCTCTGCACAGATACAACACCCTGCATGCAGATAGCGTTACATCCATTAGAAACCGGTGCGTCAGCCATAATCATAAAAACTAAAGCACAGCCACGGCTGGAGCTTTCACAGCGAAGAATGTCAAAGTAGTTCCGCCTTTGAGTCACAAAAGTCAAAATCCACACAGCTAGAGATTCTTGACAGAGCTTTTGAACAACACAAAAAAAGGCTTGGAAAAGCACCTACTCTGGTTTGTTGGTTGTACTGATACACAAATAAGAAAATAGGAGGAAGTGATTCCTGCTGATCTGTTTGGGAAGTCTATTTGTTTTCCTAAGATATTCTGTATGGATTTCTGGGAAAATCCACATCATCCACACACTCGACTTAGTCCCAGTAATATACTTTTGGGAAAACATCACAGTAGTATGTGTGATGTTTCATCTGAGCAAACAAAATTTACGAAGCAGCTCACACATACCCATTTGCAGAAGAGTGCGTCACATTCCCCACAGACATATTTTCCAGACCAATCTCAAGATCCATACCGGCAACCTTTTCACTCCCAAACACGGCTTCTCTAATGTCTGAGCGGCTGCGAAACTTTGAAAGGTAAACACAGACTCAGTTTGCAGTGAATTTGGCTGAACAAAGCTGTTTTCACCCAAACCAAGCTCAACATTTGTAGTTCACTATAATACAGGTCTGCTATCATCATCATCGCACAAAAGCAATGCACATCAGAAATCTGTCTGGCTGAGGGAAAATGAAGATAATTGATGTAATTTAAAAGTGTATGTGTAATTTAATCAAAAGCTCTTCAAAAGACGGAAATTACAAGTGGTTACTTCATCTTCTTTGCTTTTGTGTACAAACATACTTTTTGTTTGTAAAATTGGTATATTTTTTCTTCAAAGTAATGACTGAATTCCACATTATCAGCATGCATTATAAGCATGTAAGTGCATTGCATCATTATTGGAGTTTACCATTCAAGACCATAATTTCACCTTACTCCAACCCCGACCCCATCGGACACTAGCACGCACGCACACACACACACACACACACACACACACACACACACACACACTCACACACACACACACACACACACACACACACACACACACACACAAACACAGTTAAACACTACTACAATTAACCAACCACAACAGGTACAGACGCCTGCACAAGGTCTCACCAGAGATGTTGGTTGTGATCTCGGTGAGCGCTGTCTGGCCAAACCCCTTGGCGGTTCGGGCTCGGACTGACACCAGGTAGGTGGTTCCTGGATGCAGGCCAGAGAACATGTGGTAGGTCTCGTTCCTCAGCTTGGACACTGTGCGACGAGGACCTGGCACGTTAATGCCCGGGTCCGACGACTCGATACTCTGGTAGCTGATCTGGAAACAGGGAAAAGATGACGCTGGATTCAAACAAACGTTTAGAGCCACGCGAGCAGCTCTGAGGAGATGCGCCGACGAATCCATCGGACAGACTCGCTGCTGATAAGCGTCAAAATATTTTCGGTTCATTATGAAACCAATTTGACGAGCTGCCACAGTCTTGGTAATTAATGGGAAACACTGATGACCTGGGGATGCTGCGAGGAGAAAATCGAACAATTCTGCACTTTATTGATGGACCAACCGACTGACCGATATACCAACTTTAGCTTCAATATAGCTCTCAAAAAAAGACCCAGCACGAGCTTTTGAGTCTATGGAAATGAACAAACTTTCATAGAACAAACACCATAGCATGTTCAAATTAGATCTAAGTATTACCTAATTCCAACCATTGTTAAGTCAGAACAGATCTTAATGCACAAGCCTGCAGAGTATCCATAATATGCTTCACACAGCCTACAGCTTATTATTCACACTACCTGAAAGACTGAATTTAGATGGCATTTTATTTAAAGGCTCTCTCACAAGAAACGCCTCTCAGTTAATCTTAAAATGTCATCTCACAGCACGGAGCTAATACATCTCATGCTGCAGTTAGCCTCTGATAATCAGCCTCAGGTAGATTCTGTGTCATATCCTCGTTCTACAGCACTGCCGGCTTGATTTAACACACATTTCAGGATTAGTTGATAAATTAAAGCTGGAGAAAAAAAATAAAAAGTACTAAAAATGACAAGTATGAATGAAGACCAGCATGATGTTATTGCTTTTTTTGTTGCAAATTGATGAATGTGTTTAAGTCTGTAAATCAAGATTCATAAAACTAAGGAAATCTGCCAGGCTGCTTGTAAATTTGCCCATTTGTCATTCTTGGCTGCACTTCAGCATGGTGGCTCTTAGCAGTGCGACCTTAGAGCGAGAACTTCCTCAGTGTGGACCTGCTGGGCTGTCTGTTCTTTGGTCATATTGGTTTTCTGTCTTCTGCTACAACTCACTGCTACAGTCCAACCTGAAAGTATGCATGTATATTAAGAGTCAGACATGGCTGATATAGACCCATTTTAGCTTGTCACAGATATATCTAACTGGGGTATACATGATACTAAGGAAACATTTTGACCAAAAGGATAAATATTTAGTTTTTTAATCTTTAAATATACAGTAAAGTGTCTTGAATCTTTGATTGGATATGCAGTATGAGCCTATGTTTTCATCTGGTCACATTAAAAATACATTAGAGCCATACCATAAAAAAACACATCCTGTTCCAAATGTAGTGACTATAACACTAAAATCTAGCATTTGTTATTGTTTTTTTCTGAGGTTTTGTTTAAGTAGACACTCTCATGTCACTCTGTTAGTATATAATGGGTCATCAGAGCTACGAAACAGTCTACATTTTGGGGTATTTATATATTTTAACACAGATAAACAGAACCGCTCACCAACTGTGCCCATAGAGTGGTGCAGGGATGCGTCCTACATTCCGGGGTTGGCCTACAAAATTACCTCATTCCTGCACCACTCTATAAAAGGTATAAGAATAGGCAAAGATGCAATTATGTACACTTATGTCTTGGTAATCGCAGTGCAATTGCATATAAAATCAATGGAAAGGCCATTAGATGAAAAAAGGAGTTCAAAATGTTTCAACTTGAGGGGGGCGTCGTCGACCAGCTTCATATTGAGAGAAAAAATGAGAGAGACTGAAGGGAATTAGCAGAAAGAACTGGAGTTTATGGTAAGATCAGTCGGAGGCTGATCTTACACAGGCACACAAGCATGAACACAGCAGTCAATGTAGTAGCGAGCTTACAGTTAGAAATCGGCTTTTCTTTTTGTCTAAACACATCTTTACCATAAAAATATTGAAAGATGTGTTGGGGGGGGGATGTTTGTGGTGATTTGTTGCTCACAGTGTGGAAGGACTGGATGAATAGCAGCAGATGCCAGCATGACAGCTGCTTAGAGCCGTAATATTTGGAGGTTAGAAATGAGGGCACCTCATCTGTATGCAGAGAAACGGTATGGCACCACTCAATTCCTTGCCTGGTTCCTCAGTTTCCGGGCTTCTTCTGCTTGTGAATGGAAACTAGTTTCTCTCCCCATCAGGCGACCATGTGTTAAGCCAGAGTGGGTGTTCACATCTACTTACAGAAAATGCTCCAAAGCCCATACTACAAAGGTCTATGGTTGATATGGGGCCATCAATAATTAATTAGAAACATTTAAAATTGCCCCCTTGTGGAGGCATCTCTTAGGCAAATAAGTAATTAGAGTGGTTGTCCCCCATGTAATTACAGCCTGAAGTCTGTGCCTCAGCTTCATTACCATATGAACATGTACAGTAAATCCCATGAACTGTGAAAAGTGGGTCCTCCACCCTCTCGTGGCTCAGGCTCATGTGTGCTACCAGCGCTTGGGCAAGAACCAGAAAAAACAAGCCTGAGGGAAATCAGAGAGGGGGAGCAGTACAGTCTTTAAAGTGAGCAGAGGACACTTTTCCTTGATTTCAGTCATCGTTACACTGGAGGGGATGAATAAAATAGATATTGCATGGGGAAAATAACACCCTACTCCTGAAGAGGATTAATGTGTGACGTGAAGGCGGCCGCATCGCTCATCACTAACAAGGTGTCCTACCTCGTACTGCGTGATGAGACCGTTGGGCTCTACGGGCTCCTCCCACTTGAGGAAGATCATGTCATCCAGCGGGGTGAAGGTCAGGGACTCTGAAGCGATGCCGCCAGGAACTACAGCAGGAGAGGGGGAAAAAAACAACAACCTTCTCTGAAACAAACACTCCGCTCAGGTCTCAAGTTAATGGACTCTTGCATAGGAATACCAGGGGGTAAGAACATGTTTTGACAGAGCGAAAACTGGTACATGGCCAGGGAGGAGGATGAAAAAGAGGGAATGGAGAGACGGAGCAGAAGGGAAGTGATGAAAGGAAACCGGCTTGCTCTCAGCCCAAAGGATGAATTGAGATTCTGCCTTCCACTGTCTGATAACAGAGCACCGTGTCTTGGAGCATGACAGCCAATTTTTCTTTTTTAGCACCTTACCGACAGAAAAAAACGGCAAAGTAATCCAACCTGTGAACTGGCTGAGTACCTCTCTCTGCATGTTTTGGCTTAATGAGATGCATCTCCTTAAAGCAGAACCTACTTTATCGGTGGCATGTGCTGGACGGTTTATTAAATTCTGAGAATAAATTATCATTCACAGTGGACTGCTGGCTCTGGTGCCCCTGTGGTAGCACTTGGAGATAATATCTCTCCAGCATTAACATCTCACAAAATGAGAATTAAGAGAGCTCTCACGCTGGGAGAGTGGTCTTAAATAATATGCTACTAAGTCTGATCGTTTTGTGCAGGAAAGGGAAAACACACAGTTGCTCACCTGAAAGGAATCCCAAAATAAACCTGGCTGCATCTATTTTGAGTGAATCGCATTTCCATTTTAAAATGTAGGAATTGAGGAAGACACAGGAAATGAAAGCTAAAGCGATACCGCCCTGGATAGAGTGAGACTGTCTCAGTCTGTAAAGCTGCCATTGTACAACGTTACCTAATTATTCAATTCAATACAATGCAATAAAAAGCAGCAGGATTTGATATTCCATATCCAAGTAAAATTTTAGATTTTGTTATCTCACACATATAAAAGTAATTTTCAAGTTATTACAACTTGGTTCTTAATTAAGTAGTTCTGGGCAATGCATTCATTAAGTTACCATAAGTCATAGTCAGACAATGATCCTGATTATTTATACCAAGATTAGCTAATGTTGGTCAAATCTGATCAAACCACATAAATAATACTGTCCTAATAATTTGAATAAATAATACCGAAGGATGTTTTCTTACGAATTTTGATTGCATATTTAATCATAATTGTTTACGTTACAAAGGAATATGATTTGAAATTAAGATCTTCGGGTCTTTACAAACTGATTTTGAAACAGACAGTCCATAGCAGCTGTTCTTATGTCATGAAAATTTCCAACACAGTTCGGTGGTAATCTAGCGTTGAGGTGAAAATTGAAGCAGAAAGTCAGTCTGGAAACTGTGATGGATGGTGACAACAGACATTTTCAGTAATAATGTTACTGGTCATGTGTATTTTTCTCTTTCAAAAATATTTGTGTTACAATTGCTTATATTTCGAGCCCTACCACAATTAGTTATGCCGCCACATTGAAGGCCTCACTACTTTTTGAGTACAATTTCATTATTACCACTTTAAACCTAGGCATACATGTTGTAAAATTGGGCCTTTGTTGGCGTAAGTTCTAGCATTGTTATTTTTATTGTAATGTCCTGATACTAAGCTTCATGCTACATTACATACATACAATAAAAACTAATTTACTAGTGTTTGAACATCACTGTATGTCCTAATTCCAATGCTTCCAAAGCTTAAAAAATGAACTATCAATATTTATTCCTAAAAAGGCAGTAGAGAGGTCTCACTGATTGTGTGTTTGCTGTGACTGAATTACGCAATGCTCCTCTCCTGCAATATCAAACTTCTTTAACCTGTCTGTTTGCCTCAGAAGCTGAAGGTGTGGTAGGCAAAGTACGCCATACGAAAATCCCGTTGTATCCATGAAGCCTTCACAGCCAAATCTGCTTCCTAGAAGCAGCAGAGACACAGCGTAAGCAAAGTGCTGCACCAGTGTTTGATTGTTGAGCCGCTATGAAACAGGCAAGAGGAGCTGTCACCGACTGCGGCTCAATTACTGTAGTTGTGAGGGTGATGGCGGCTCTCCTTGCGCGAGTGGGATTGGGGATTGTCAAACTGTCAGACTGGCGTTCAGTGGCTCTAAAGCAAAAACATTCCATCGGTGTCGAGATTCAAAATATCAAGTAAAGTGGGGACAATCACGGCCTGTTTTTGTTTTTTCTAAGACGTGTTCTTACTTGTCACTTCCTAACCAGTCAAATCTAATGAGTAAAAAAATACCAAGCTACATTCTGTATGTTATTCAATTTATGTAAATTCATTTCTTCCTGCCTACGATACGGTAATGTGTAGGTGTACATAATTAACTTTTCTTATATCCTCCACTGCTTGGTGTTTTCAAGTGTTGCTGTAAAATTGAAAAAAATAAACAATTTTCCATTTTTAAGCCGATGCTAAAATGTATTTTGATGATGACGTGAAAAAAAAATAAAAAATGCTGCCAATTTCATATCATAGCCGGCCTTCCCTCTCATTCTCTCCACCGGGTCAAGAATCTTTCTGAGTGGCATTCAATTACATCGAAATGTCTTGCTTATTCTACATAACAATAAGTGTTTGACCTTCTGTACTTCCACTCTCTGGGAATTTGCATTAGAATGTGCCTAATCTGCTGATGTACACAGGAAAATACTAATACAAAGATAAGCTGAATCATTTTACCATTTTGCTACCGGCCACAGCCCGAGCTGATTAATGTTCCGCTGGTTTCCATTTAAAAGGCTGATCTTCCATTTAGTTACGCTGATCCAGCATATTTTGTGAGTCAATATTTGTCTTTTTTTTCACGCTGGTAAAGGCATGGATTTGTGTTAGCAATGTACAATGATTATCTGAGCATGAGGGAGCATGCAAATAAAAGCTAGATATTCAAGAAGTTCTGCAGCCGGAGCTGAGAAACTCTTACAATAAAGAGCTTCGGTGCATACACTCAAACATCCTTGCAAAAAGCCTTGCATCTTTTGTCCTGTCTAATGCTCTCTGGGTGAAATAAAACCGCCCACTCACTGTCTTCCTCAGTCTGGAAGGTGACCTCTCTGCTCTCCTTCTTGCCTTCAGGGTTGGCCAGCGCCAGCCGGACGTGGACTGCGCGGAAGGGTGGTAGGTCTCTCAGGGTGAAGTGAGAGGTGTTACGGTCCACGGACAGGCACTCTCTGACGGTTGCATTGTTCCCGCCGCTGCCCCCTGTCGGCATCGAGTAGCGGTAGCACAGGGACAAGGAGTAGGTGTGACAGCGGGTGAGGTTGTAGCCCAGCGGCTCCCACTGAAGGGCCAGCTGCCGGGGCTGGATCTCTGCAGCCGTCAGACCCCGCAAGGCTCGCATGGGCTCTGAGAGGGACAGGAAGCAGAAACTGTATCAATAAAGTGCAAACAGTGAGCTCGTATTTACCAGCATCTGCAGAGGAAACCGAAGGGAGCACAGAAAGAAAATGTTGAACTCTGTAAAGACGAAGCTCACTGACAACATTTTGTTTCTGAATAAGTAAAGAAACCCAACCATAGCTACTTTTGGACAAATTGGGAAAATATAAAAGTTGCAGATCAACAAACAAAAACAAGTTAAATATTCCTTTTCCTTTTAGCTCTGTTTTGGTCTCTGCCAACATATTTGAACAAACTCTGTCTCTTTAGCAGTTGCGTTTGCAGCTAGTCACTAACTTTGTCTGGGATTTTGGAGCAGTGATGTTTTCAGAGCAGCCGGCTGCTGCCGCTGGACATAAGTTTGATAAAAGCAGTGAGAGTAAACGAAAACAATAAAATTGGAGGCAGTAAAACCAAAACAAATGACCTCAAAGATGCTAAAATGATGAGAGGAAAGGCAGAGTTGGTGATGATTATCTTTGGTTTCATCTCTGCAAGAGACACCGTTCACATAGCACATGGTTACCTAACAGTCAAACATGTCAACATGTTGCTTTCACATTAGGGGTTATCAGCAGGTATATGTAACACAATTTCACAGTCAGAAGTTGAGCAACGGAGTTGCTGACCCACCAGAGTTTGGGTTACGTAAAATGGTCTGTGAGATTGATATGCGGACTGGTGCAGTGTCTGCATTCATGCAAGTGTTGCACCATCCATCAATTTACAGCTTCGAGCGATCCTTTTCTGGGTACCTCACCATCATTCTGGGGGGAAGGGTGAGCATGAGGATGTCCAGATACAAAGAAGGTCAGTTTGAATGGAGTCTGTTGGGCTGATTCAGACTTCTAATCAGGATGCCCCATTGACACTTCCTCCGGGAGGTGTTCTGGGAAGGTCCAATTGGGAGGAGACCCAAGGGAGAGCCAGAGCATGCTGAAGGGACTACATATCCCAGATCAGCCTGAGATCATCTTCGGATCTGCCAAGAGGACGTGACTGGGGAGACAGTTGTTTGGCTACTTTGCTGCTGCTGGACTTTGAGACAGAATAAAATAGATGGATGGCAGCCCATGATCAATTTATTTCAAGTTGTAGGGGATGATGTGCTGTTTGCTGACAAGACAGGCGTGTTTTTTACCTAAAAAATCTTACCCGAGCAGCTTAAAAGAGAAATACTGATGGGGGAAAGGAGACAGCAACAGTTGCAGCTGACTTTACAAACTTACACTACGAGGTTACAGAGGGGTGAATCAATAGGAATGCATAAAACTGCCTGAGGAAGTAGCACACAACAACAACATTTTACATTTCCATCTCTCCTAACATGAAGGAGGTTCAGTGGGAGACCAGTACATGGCCTTGGCAGAAAATCATTTGTGAACCCTAATTACTACTGTCATCTGTGAAAGTCGTGATTGCGGATGTCCATGTCCCCGTTATGCAAGATGTACAGTTTCAAGCACGGGGGGTATTTTCTTCCTCAAGCCTGGCCTGGATCTTCAAGTGTGCTGCTGAGACATCAGATAAACCAAGAGGAGGGCAATGCCTTCAGTGTGGCACAGGCTGGCAGTGCAGAGCTGCAGACTGCTGGAAGCCAGGAATAGAGGGGGTATGGGGGGGGATACATGCTACAGCCCTGCTGCTTCACTAAACATTGATCAGAAACTCTTGCGTATGCAGCAATGTCACGGAGGAGACATCAGTTCTGAGGGGACAGAGGAGAGAATGTCCTTGCCGATGTGAAAGACGTTTGCTCTTTCCCGAAAGGGTGAAACAGAGTTTGGCTGATTTGTGTCATCACAGCTGATACACAAGATAAAAACCTTACCAGGAAATATTACCAATCAATCATATAGTAACAATGTCAATTTGAAAAATGATATCATACCCATCATGTCAAAGGTGCATGAGAATAACTGGCTTGATGTCAGATTTTTTTTTTCTTTTTACAACATCAGCCCTGTATATATATTCTAATCCTGCTTTAACCAGGTCTGCCACCAGGGACCCACTGACTGAACGTTCACTTTCCGCTCAAGACACCATTACTCATCATTACAGCAGCACCGCAGCAAGCTCTGTGCTGTCCTCTCCACCCGCCGGTCCACCAGCAGTCCTACCCCAAACTGACATTCGGCTTGATTAGCCTAATCAGAGGGATTAGCCAGAGGCAGAGGGGATGCAGGAGGGAGAGGGAGGCCGGAGAAGAGATGAGCGGGGGGGGGGGTAGAGAAAAAGATGAATGAGGGAGAGTCCCTATGGGTCTGCACATTTCATCTCATGCTCCTCATCTTTAACAGCTGCCTCAGTGAGCTGCCACTGAGGCCTATCCCTCCTGCCACGAGCTATGTTGGAATTATGATGGACTATTGGAGCACACCCTGATACTTACCATTGAAACCACATGTGCTGACACGCATATTTTGAATGAGTTTCTGCAGGAATCACTTTCTTGAAATTTACCTCTAAATCATTTTGATATTCCGTGGCTTCATGAAAGTTAAATATTAACAAATGACCCTGTAATGGATTGCAAAGAGGAGTAGAGATTGGCCTAGCAAAAGAGGAATACAACTTGCAATAGTGTTATGTGCTTATTGCTATATGTGTCTGTCGCGGACTGTTTGCATGTCATTAACAGCAACAAGCAGTACAGAATCTTTGGCCTGCAGGATATATTATACTTTTGCATATGCAATGAGTAGAGAGACATATCTTGCAATGATGCATCTTGTCTGTTTGATAAATAAAGCACTTGTGTTTGAGGCAAATCTGCGCATGACTAACCAGCGCTAAAGCCGCAGTAAGACTGGTCCTCTGTGTTTTGTTGTCTCGACACAATTAATGGTTTGCAAGGGGAGAACAGCACACACGCTTTTGGAGAGTATATCCTCGTAAGCATTCATGGCATCGCACTTGGTTGTTGTACATGAAAAGTGATGACAGTCTTAAATAAGCATATTGAAGCATTGAGATGAATGAACTTAAAGAAATGCATGCTAATTTTCAATTGAGCCATTTCCTAGAAAACTAAAATGTGGGCCATCAGAATCATGTGAAACGTGCCAATATTACATAAACATGTAATCAAGAGACAGGAAGCATGAATGCTACGCTATGGGAGAGGCAAATCTGCATTCATGTCAACGTCGCTAATTTGTAGCCACGGGGCATTCTGTCAGAAATGAATCACTTTCAGACCTCAGCCCTTTCAATTTGGACAATTATTTTCCTACACATGAACACATATGAGAGAGTGTTAGAACATGATTTGAATAACCAGTCACAAAGCAACATACTCTCTAAACTACACATATATTCTGACTTGGCATTCGTTTAGCATCTGAACCGGGCCACCCTCAACAGTGGCCCATGGGATTGCAATCCTCTGCACCAGTAAGTACGAAATGTCACATTCAAAGACTGTCCGTAAAATAGGAGCCACTGTGCTAAAAGAAATGTCTCTCTGTGGCACATTAGGAAGACAAATTCATCCAGAGCGTTGTGTCACAGGGCCTCCCTGTTCCCCGAGGATAAAGCTTCTCATCTGAGCAATGGGAGTTGACAATAGGTGGGCGAGAGGAAGACACTGATGAGAGTGGATCAAAGAGTGTGGCAGGTGACAGGGGTGTCACGCCGTCTTACTTGACAGAGCGGCAGGGTGTCTTTTTTCACCCGGATGAGCAGCACTGCGACTAAAACACAGACGAGATGCGGCGAGAAGATCCTGTCCTCTGCTCGCATGACACGAGAACGTCCGCACTAAACGAGCTCTTGAGCTAAACTTTTTTTTCTCCGGCTGGGGTTCAGACCAGTCCCAAAGGTGTGGTGCTTTCAAAATAAGAATCTTCACACGTTATCTGTTGTTTTTTCATGCAACTCCAACAACCCTTGTCCCGCATGTAAATGATTGTAGATAACAGCAAACACACCTTTTGTTCTCAGTGGCTGCAGGCAAACTACAAGTTGTTAAGCGATGCGTCAAAGCAGTTTGATGCAGCTCCCAGCTGCAGCTCAGAACTCGGGTGAATCTCAGAGCATCCGACTCTGAAAACAGTGTTTGCTGCAGGAGTAACCAGATGGTCTTCTGTTTGTTGTTTTGTAAGTGATGCTTTGAGTCCTCGGTTTGCAATAAACAAAATACAATTGCACTTTCTATTTCGGGCTGTTATTTAATTAGCACTCGGCCCATTAATTGATTAGTAAGTAAATCATTAAAGGTCCTCTGTACAATATTCAGAGCATTAATATAGCATCACACAACTATTTGCTAAATGGCGATATAGTGGAGTGATCAGTATATGTTTTTTATCTGACTTAATCATGAGTATTTTCACACAGAACCTGACTATTATCCAGTGAAAAAGAGTCTTTTTTCAAAACAAGGTTGATTTTTTTTTTCTTGCAGAACGGACATTTTCAAAACGTACACTAGTGCACAACAACACAAAATCTCACTAGTCTAAACCAAGAAAGCAACCTTTATTACTCCTTTCATCCTTGACAAAGGCAGCGCAAAGCAGATCCGCTTCTTCCATTCTTACCTTTCACAATAAAAGCCCTAGACATATACAGTGCGAAACAGTTTACTGGTGGCAAATTCACTAAGAGCATTTGGCTAAAATGAAACTCAATAAAATAATTTACAGCTTATAATTTACAGCTTAGGTTATACAGCAATTTAGCTCAGACAGACTGCCAGAAGCTGCTCTGGGTCAATAAGATGCCAGTAGTTGGTGCTCTGCCTACACAAATCTATTGAGACCGTAAACTGAAAAAGTGCTGCTACGGTAGCAAATATGCTATGAATAGTATTTATTCAAAATATTTGTTGTTTATTCGTCCTGTCCTGGGTGAATAGAGGCCTTTACAAGACAAATAGAGCAAAATGATGCTACATGTAGCATGTGTGTGAAGCTGTAGTAGGTGCTGTGAACTAAATGCTAACGTGAAAATGTTAATATGCCAATGATAAGCAAACGATCGCCATCTTAGTTTAGTGTGTTATAGCATTTGCTAATTAGCATTAAACACAAAGTTAAGCTCAAGCTGATGGGAATGTCGTTTCTTTCGCAGGTGTCATATCGTAGAGACAAATATATTGAACTATATAAGTTTTAACCAGAGGATTAGATAATATTTGATGGCAATCCATTCAAACATTGATTCACCATCCATAGAGTGGCTTGCAAAAATGTATTAAAGGTGTAAAATGCAGAAAGCTAATAATGTTTCCTTTACTCATTTCTAGCCTGGATAAACATGATCAAGTGTTGGCACTACAGCTCCCAATATGCTTTGGATGATAGAAATGTTGCCATGAACTGCCATTAGCAGTTCCTGTTTGCACTGTTGTCAATGCTTGATCGGACTCACCTGCACACTTTGTCCTGCTGGTCAGAGGGGGTCCAGGTGCTCCTGTTCCCCCTTCCCCGGGCCGGGTGAGCAGGACACTGATGCGGTACTCTGTGTCTGGCTCCAGATGCCAAATCTTATAGGTAAGTGAGCCCACACCGTGAGTCTCCGTCCACGTGGACTGGCTGGCCCGGTACTGGATCTCCCGCCGAATGACCGGTCCATCCCCCACGATGGAGTTGGTGTTGAGCTGGATGATCAGATAGGTGGGGCCTGCCCGCAGGAGCTGAGGGGGAGCAATCGGTGTTGGGGGCACTGCAATAAAGAATGTCTCATCATTATTCTGTACATCTATATATCTATATATCTTATACATATATATATATACTGTATATATAATATATATCCGCCCCTAGAACACTATTGGAAAACAGTCAAACATTGGTCTTTTCTGCAGAAAAGAGCCAAGTCATGCCAGCAAAGGAGAAGTCAAGGATTTCTGTCATTGATTTTTCTCTTTTTTGTTTTATAGTTTCAATAACAATTTTTCCGCTCTGTTAGAGCTTTGAGTCATAAAAATCATTTAATCACATCAAGTATATGAGACAGAGAGAGATAGAGGGTTAGAGAGAGAGAGAGAGAGAGAGACTCCTTAATGCTGTAAGTTCTTAATTTGTATTGTAATGATGCCGAATAAGTGCTTATTTGCATAAATAATTGCATTACTAATTAGGTCCTCTCTGCACATAAAAAACAGCCTTGATGGATAATATGACCCTTATCAACCCAGCGAACATCAAATTAATTCATCTCATGGTATAATATGTGAGCGAAGAGAGGGTTGACTGACACAGTGACTACACCGAGTATTTTATGACATTATTTATTAGAATATAAAAACAAGAGACAGTCAGTGGCTTACTTGAGGGAGTAGCTTAGTGTGTTTGAAACATGATTGATTGCTTAGGAGAGTGAGATGAGTGTATATATATACGTATATACGTATATATATATATATATATATTTTTTTTTATATATATATATATATAT